TTTCAAGTATACAACAGTGTTGTGAACTATAATCACAAGGTTGTACAACAGATCTAGAACTTACTCCCCCCAAATGAAATCTCATGTCCTTTGACCAACATTATACTGATCCACCTCCTACCAGAACAGGCAAAAATAATTTACAGTGAAAAAAATTAGACAGCAATTGCCTCAGACCAGAGGTTTGGGGTGACAGGAAGAGAGGGGAAATAGTGGTATAAATAAACTGTAAACAGGCAAGACGATGTTTGGGACAATGGTAATGTCTTTTATCTTAAAAGGAGATTTGGTTACATAGGTGTATACAATGTTTAAACTCGGCAAATGTTCACTTATGGTTTATACATTTCATTTCTTATAAATTTTACCTCAAAAGAAAAATCTGTAAATGAGTAGTAAATCCCAGTTGATATGCATGTTGAAGTATTTCATGAAAAATACACCAATATTTGTAATACACTTTGAAATGTATTAAATGAATAAGATGACTAATAAAGAGATGAAACAATAGAGGAACAGAAATAAAATGTTAATGGCAGAATCTAGCAAGAAGTATATGGGTTGCTCGCTATAGAAATCTGAGAAGCAATTTTAAATTTTCTTATATCTTTTGATAATATAAGTAGCAATATTGGCATTTACATTTATAAAATTAGCCATTAAATAATTCCTGATTCTCAGCAAACTAATGATCAATTGCCATGTCATTTGCAGTGAATTTATTGGCAAAACATAGCAAAGATATGTTAATTGGAGGGAAAAAATTTAATAAAGTGATTTATAAATAGGTAGCATTAGTAGTAGTGCAGAAAATGAAGACCACATTTGACATAAACTTTTGCCTTTGCAAGGTTTTCTGAAGCACACAAGCCCACCTGACAATAGTTTTTTTTTTTAAAGTTCCTTTCTACCACTTGAGACATTTCCTTTTCAGCATCAATGAGAAAGAAATCTACTATGCTCCACTAGACATCAGAGTAAACTATCTCCATAATTAAATGATTATGGGAAAACTTCATAATGTTCATAGGCTAGGACAGGGAAGTGAAATAAGGAAATTACTAACGTTTCTAAATCATCAAAATGCTTTGTATTTGGTCCCAATTTTGGGTGAAGATCAGCTAAACCCATTTATCCAGTAGAAATTTAAAACTAAATACATAATTTTAAAATATTACACTCCCAGAATAACTTCTAAGAAAAAAGATTACCATTAATAGGAATTTTTATAGATTAAACAGTATCCTCCAAAGCTGGTTCAATCTCTGGAAACAAACCAGGAAACAGCTAACAACATTAAAAAGATAAAGCACTAAGATCAAAGAAGTCAGAGGATTTCAGAGTCTTTTGTTTATAAATATACTCAAAAGAGTTTTGCCCCAAAAGATTTTAAAAGTGCCTAACAGAATCAACAGGTAATTACATCTACTTCTGAGAAAATACCTGTACACTTAGATTAAATAGACATATTATACAGTAATATAAATCCTAAAACAAACTAAAGAAGAACAGAGAAACTAAATATTCCCATAACCATGGAAGAAAGCAAATCAATCATTAAAAAAACCAAAATCCCACCAAGAAAACATCAAGTACAAATAGTTTAATAAGAGACAAAAGAAAAAGAATAAATCTTGCCCTCAATTCATTTTACGAAGTTAGTACAAACCTTAATGTCAAACCCAGACAAAATCAACATAAAAAATCATAATTATAACCTAAAGTAAATTTACTTAAAATTTTAAAAAAGCATAACTTCAGATCAATTTCATTCACAATAATAAATATAAAATATACTAAACCAAATATTGCCAAATTAAATCCAATAATATAATTTAAAAGTTTGTTTCACAAACATATGGTTAGTTTAACACCAGAAAACTCTATTAGTTTAATTTACTAAAGACTTAAGGAGAATGTGGAAAAACATTCAATAAGATTCAATCAGAATTCATGAAAAAAACTCACAGTAAGCCAGAAACAGAAAAGAACATCCTGCACTTTATAAAGAATGTCTATAATAAACCTATAGCAATTATCATGTTCAATGATGAAACATTAAAATAATTTTCTATAAAATCAGTAACTCTGCAAGGATGTCTTGTTATTTCCATGTCTAATACTTACTGAAGGTTCTGTCCATCATATATGAACACACCAGCAAGACACACAAACATATAAACATACAATACAGACAAATTTATAAGAAAGAAATAAAGGTCATTAATTTGTATCAATTATCTTTATAGAAAACTCCAAAGAATCCAACATTTATAAATTGCTAGAATTAAAAAGAATATAATCACTACACAAAAGCCAACTCCATGTATATGTACTAGGAATGTTAGGGTCACTTTTTTAAAAGATACCATCTACAATAACCAAAAATATGAAATTTGATTATAACTCACAAATAATAATAGTGTACTAAGTACATGCAAAATCTTTATGAAGAAAACGTTACTAAATGATTAGAGATCAAAACAAATATAGAAAAGTATCATGGTCACCAATAATAAATAAATTGTCTTAAGAGTGTCAATACCTCTCCAAAAGCATTCTATAGAACCAGTGCAATTATAAGTTGAGCATCACAAATCCTAAATCTGAAAACCCAAAGTGCTCCAAAATCTAAACTTTTCAAGCGTGAACGTGACCCTCAAAAAAACCAAAAACCCAAAAAAACACCACTCATTGGAGCATTTCAGATTTTAAATTTGGAGGTTTAGAATACTCAATCAATTTAATGCAAATACTGTAAATTCTAAAAAAATCCAAAATCCAAAACACTCCTGGATCCCAAGTATTTTGGAGAAGGAATACTCAATCTCTACCCTAAAATCCCATCAAGTTTTCTCACAGAACTTAAAAATCTGATTTTAAGATTTATATGGAAAGAATATGGCCAAGAAAGTCAAGGAATTGCTATAGAAGAAAAACAGGTTGGTGAGTACATGTCCAGGAAACTAAACCTAGTACATTTCAAAAGTTATTTTAAAGTTGTATTAACTAAGATTATAATTATGGCTGTGGAATTGAGTTCAGAAATGAGCCCATACATACACAGAAGGCTGATATACTATGGAAATAGCATACAGATTAGTGGGAACAGAAAGCATTTATCCTGCCCCAAACAACAATGACAACTACCACCAAAAATTAGCTGGGTGCTATAGCAGGCGCCTGTAGTTCCAGCTACTTGGGAGGTTGAGGCAAGAGAATCACTTAAGCCCAAGAGTTTCAAGTTGCTGTGAGGGTGACAAAGTGAGACTCTGTCTCAAAATAAATAAATAAGTAAATAAGTACATAAAGAAAAATGAAAAAATTTAAACCCGAAAATTAAGAATTTTGGTACACCAGCCAGGCATGGTAGGTAGCTCATGCCTTTAATCACAGCACTTGGGGAGGCCGAGGCAGTTGGATTGCCTGAGTTCAAGATTTCCAAACCAGCCTAAGCAAGTGTGAAACCTCCTATTTACACTAAAAATGGAAAAATTAGCCAGGTATAGTGGCACACACCTATAATCCCAGCTGCTTGAAAGCTGAAGCAAGATTGCTCAAGCCCATGAGTTTGAGGTTGTTGTGATCTATGACAGCATGGCACTTTAGCCTGTGCAGCAGAGTGAGACTCTTGCCTCAAAAAAAAAGAAAAGAATTCTGGTACAACAAAAGATATTTTAAAGGAGTTTAAAACTTGAGAAAATATTTGCAACATATATAACTAAGAAATAATTAATATCCAGCATATATAAAGAACTCCCATAAATCAATTAGAAAAAAATTATCCAATAGAAAAACAGACAAAGCAAAAAAAAAAAGAAAAGACAGCATATTTTTACCTAAAAAGAAAGATAAATGGTTCATAAAAATATGGAAGGACACTCAGCCTCTTCGGTAATTAGGGAAATAGAAGTTAAAAGAACAATGAGATACCCAACTGTTGGCTAAGATACAGAGCAATAGTCATTGTCATATCCTGCTGGTGGAATCATAAACTGTTTGCTACTATTTTGGAAAATACTTTGGTATTAATGAAGTTGAACATAAATGTACTCTATGACCCAGAAATGCCACACCTAGAAGTATACACTATAATAGCGAGGTACAGTGGCTCATGCCTATATTTCCAGCTACTCAGGAGGCTCAAATGGGAAGATCACGTGAGCCCAGAAGATTGCGGATGCAGTGAGCTATGATCATGCTGCTGCACTCCATCCTGGATGGTGACACAGCAAGACTCTGTAACTTAAACAAACAAACAAACAAACAAACACCATTCTCTTACTCAATGGACTCAAAGTTAGATATTAACTATGAAATATTTCATTAGAAGTTATAAACATACATCATCATCTAAAATTAATATTTATGGGGCACAAATATTCTTTTCATGTACCTCTTATTCATTAATTGCTAAAGCCATCAATAAATATCAGGAAGTATTATCCTTTTCTAAATGCAGAGATAAAATAAATCTGACAGGGTCATTTGTTCATATAGCATGAATGGCTTTTTGTTCACACTGACAGGCATAGGTACTTTAATCACCAATGACTATATCAAGTATTCATAAAAATAAATCCTTTTTGAAGATTATGTCAATTTAATCAGGATTAAAAGGAAATAAAACTTTTATCCTTATCATCCTTGAATGAAATAACTTCATTTTTAATATCTTACTTAATCAGAAAATACACAGAAGGAAACAATAATATAGAGAGAGCTTGATGTCCTGTGGTCTTCCTTAATAACAACCCATTTTCAAGAGACTATAATCTACTCAACAGAAAGCACTCCACCAAGGATTTTAATCAGATTCTGAGAAAATTCACACTCAAAATAAATAATATCCCACTAAAACCAAAACAATGTAGGTATTAGCAGCTATACAAAAGGCTAGCCTCAATCTGATGAATCATTTCTAAAATGATGAAAATATAACTCTTTTATGTGCTTTCTATTCAAGCTGAAAAATATATAAAGGTAGAGAATCATTTACCAGGCAGACTGACTGAGAAATTTTTCTTCATTTTGCACATCCTTCAACTCTACGTGAACAGCAAACTAAGAACGGCAAAAATGAGTCTCTCTTCCTACATATTAATACTAACTTTTTCTTTGTTTTCTCAAGGTATTTTACTTTCAGCATCCAAGTCCATAAGAAATTTAGAAGATGACATGGTATTTAATACATTTAGGCTGGGAAAAGCCTTTCAGAAGGAAGATACTGCAGAAAAATCAGTCGTCGCTCCCTCCCTGGAACAATATAAAAATGATGAGAGCAGTTTCATGAACAATGAAGAAAACAAAAATTCAAAGGTAAGTGGAAATTTAACCAATGCAATTTGTCATTTATTTCAATGAAAATTTAAATGATTATTATAAATCTTCCAAATAGTAAAACTGATACCTCTTTAATCAGATTACCTCTATTTTAAAAACAAAAGTATATGCAAATAGTCATAGTATGCATTAGAACAACTGATGATATTTCATATATACCAAGTGGTTCTTTCTATCCTGGATTCTTTTTTTTTCCCCAATAAACTTGTATCCAAAGTATTTTTAAAGAGTTAAAAATGGCCAGAGCATCTTTGAATTGATCAATAAGAATATTAAACAATTGTATTATAGTTCTATTCCTAATAAGACAGCTAAAAAACAAATTTCTTTTTACAGAATACAGGCTCCAAACATAATTTCTTAAATCATGGTCTGCCACTGAATCTGGCGATAAAACCTTTTCTTGCAATGAAAGGATCTGTAGCTTTCCCAGCTGAGAATGGAGTTCAGAATATTGAATCAACACAAGAAAAGAGAGAAATTGGGGATGAAGAAAACTCAGCTAAATTTCCCATAGGAAGGAGAGATTTTGACAGTGAGTAGTCTTTTTAAACTTCAGTTCTTACATCTTAAAATAGAACTCTTGAGTGACTAAACTTGGACCTAATCATAACAAAATCAAATAAGACCATGGTTCAATTACAACTGATATTAAGTGATATCTGCCAAAAATGTGGGATTAAAAAGAATTTAAGCTGGGTGTGGTGCGTGCCTATAGTCTCAGCGTTTAGGGAGGCCGAGGCAGAAGGATCACTTGAGCTCAAGAGCTTGAGACCAATTTGGGCAACACAGGGAGACCCCATCTTTAAAAAAAATTGAACAAACAAACAATAAAATGCATTTAATCAGTTATTACAATTTTGGCTTACTCAGAATTAGTTGTAATACAGCCAATCTTTTTTTGTCTAATATGTGTTGTGTGATAAGTATAGTACTTTAAATAATTTAAACTTTTTTTTCTTCAGTGCTCAGGTGTATGCTGGGAAGAGTCTACCGACCTTGTTGGCAAGTCTAATACCTTTTGGTCCACATCATCCTTCAAGAAAACAATAAAATCATTTAATTGCCAGTGGGAGGAAAAGCCCTTAATGTTACTGTAACTTGCGCATTATTTTAAATGTCTGTTTTAAAAGAAAGCAGTGTTGAGATATATCATTAACCTAAATGATATGCTTTTTCTGTGCATTAAACTTTGTGAAAATCCTGCATAATTACGACTTACTGGTATTTTTGAACAATGCTTAACACAATAACCTTCATAAACTCCACACCAAAATAATAGAGCATAATCATTTACACATTGATCTCTTAAAAATTAAGTGTGTCTCTGGTGAATAGTTTTACATCTGCATAAATCTAAAGCATATAAAAGACAAATTCATAGTCTAAAAAACCTAGTTAACTTTGTCTGGCCAACAATCAATTTGTTCTTGGTGGTACACTTACTGCCTTTTGCTAGTCTGGCTAGTTTGCATTCCAATTTATTCTGTGAATTGTCAGATGTCCTGGGTATCTTATCATTTTTATGCTGAGGTGGTTCATTTCCATTATCATAGAGAATGTTTTCACCATCCAAATCCACCTGTTTCCTTTTTGAGGTTTTATTTCCTGTCTGACTACTTGATTTTCTGGATAATTTTTCATTTTTAGTCCTGTCCAGATGAACATTTCCAAAGCTTGTTCCAATTGATGATCTTCCAACAGGTGAATTTATACCCTCTGTTATGCAAGATGAAAAGGGGAAAGGAATTATATATTTGATATATTCCTCATGAGAATTTTACAATAAATTTTAAAAATGGCTTAAGAAGTATTTAAAAACTTATCTAAAATAACATAATATCACAAATTATATGATTAACAAACATAGTTACATTATTATCACATTACTTTTCATTTTACCATGCCACCTCTCTAATCCCTATCAACAAATAGTCTTTTGAAGGCATGACTTTAACCCTTAAACAAATGCTACAAATTATTTAAACTTAATCGTGTCCTATTTCTACCTATAATTCTGTACTTAGATTTAACCTTTTAAATAAACCCAGTATCTTTAAAACTGTAAATTTTTACACTACATAGTATTTGGCAAAAATATAATCTAGTTTTACCTAAGTTAAAATAAACTAGTTGACTAAAATTAAATTGTTACTTAATTACTCAAATAAAGGTCAATTACCAGAAAGGTCAGTTTCCATGTGAAGAACATGCAAAGGCTTTGATGTGGAGTTAACATTATTCCAATTATCCTTGTTTATCATGCATTCATCTTTATAAGTACAAGCAAACTGGGATCTAATTAAGGTTTGTTTCATCTGGTAAAAGAAAGAAGAAAATAACCAATTTATTCATTATTTTGATTTGTTTTTTAATCTGGATAGATATATACACTACAGTAACCAAGAGATCATAAAAAATTTTCTTTAAAAATTCCAATATTCATTGGGAACCTTTAACCTTTTATGTTTTATAGTTTATAAACTCATTCATTGTTACGGCTGGCATTTTTGTCCTTTTCAGCAATACTAGCTTACTCTATAAATTTTTTTTAACAGTTATAAAAAATAAATCTTAGACTCTTCATAGATCTTTGTTACATATTCCTGTGTCGGGACTGTTTCAGAGAGTAACTTTTATTATAAGGAAAATAATAACATACATTGTCATAGAAAAATACAAGTTCTTCATCCCAAGAAATACACAAAACACAACTTTTTTAGAAAAAAAATTATCATATAAAATTTAAGATATCGGGGAAGAGAAAAATGCTAAAATGAAAAAAGAAATAAGAGGTCAAAGGAAATAAAAACAGAAAAGTAGCAAAGAAACCACAAGATAAAACAAAGTGGTGTTAGAAAGGCATTACTTCTTAAGTATTTAAGAAAACAAGAAAGATGATTTGAATATATCATTCTTTAAAGATAGGACCAATTGATTTAATGGTCAAAAATGCAAAATACACTCTTTCATTTATCTTCAAATATCAAATAGAAGGGCCTAACTTTCTACATATGTAAAAGAAAATTAGAAAGATAAATTTAATTCATAATCATTGAAAAGGATGCAAAAAAATAATTTTAGAAATGTATTCTACAAACATAACACCAGTGAGCTGTTTTAAGGATAGAAATTAATTTAGAATGAAGTAGCCTATAAAGACAATGCAAATTTCTACAACTATAGCCAATGTATACTCAAGTATAATGAGATTTCTCCAAATAATTAGAAGTCATCTCAAATCCTTTTCAGAAATAGATGAAGTTTAAATTTTAAATAAATTATTCAATAAAGAGGACTTCAATAATTCAAAAATGTGACACTTCAAAGTATAACTGCATTATAATGAACATTACTTACACAGCAGTTATTGACCCAGTTAATGAAATCCAATAACAGCACAGCATTGCATTATATATTCAGTACTTACATATTATGACATATATACAGAGATCAGTGCATTAATCCATTCAGTTGTTCGTAAAAATAATGGCAGTGAAATCCACCAACTATAGTTTAGAAAATATTAGAATAATCTCTTGTTCAGCTGCTTTATAAAAGCAAGTTTTCTTAAGATAAATTTTCTGTCTTTCTGACAATGTATAGTCTCTGTCTCTCAGATCACTAAAAATTATGTTTCATGCACTTAAATGAAATATTAGACAACTAGAGTTTATCTTCCTTCTAACCACAAAAATGCACAATTGAAAAAAGTAAGAAAAGGTATAATATTAAAAAACTAGTTTTGTAAAAAAAGTAAAACAGAATAGGCTCTTGAAAACAAATGGAGCTACAACCCTCTCACTCCCTCCATGAGTCCCTTTGAACACCACTCCCATTATACAGCTTCCACCATTAGATGCCCTAAAATATGACTGAAGGTTTTAAGTAGCCCTTTCTGGACTTTATTGATCCTATAAATATCCTATAAATAACACAAATTCTTCCTAATTCTTAAAGCAACTGATAAAGCTATTAAAATAATAAATTAAAGCTATTATTAACAAAATAAATTTTACATTATATCACATCATTTACTGTAATAGTAGTATCTATGAACTTTATTTCCATCTGCAAAACCAGTATTAACCATCGACATTATCTTTTTAGGCTTGGTGCCTGTGGCTCAAGTGGCTAAGG